CCACTCAAACCGAGAAACTCACACAGTTGGGTGTGCTAGGCAGAGAGCAACCCAGTTTACTGCTATGACCTTGGAGTGCATTTTTAGGACTGTACGTATCAAGTGCCAGGAGTGGCTCCCACTCAAAGCAATTCGTTGTTATTTACAAGGCTTGAGTCAGTGGGGACCCATTCCCACCTCTTCCAGCTCAGAGGCATCTCATTTTCCTATCATTTCTGAAAGAGTGTAAATCCAAAGGGTAAAAATCATACTCTCCTTTTTTCTTCTTCTCTTTTTTGTATCTCTTTCCCCCTCCCTTCCTTTTTTCCCTTCTGTGCTTTTCCCACCTTCAAGATACACCTCTCCGTTCTTTTAATGGGGGAAATTTTTTGGAATTACAGCAGCCGTGTAAGGATGGGGCTTCTTTGGTTAAATTCTGTTTTTCTTCTTGGAGATGACTGAGTCGTATAAAATTGATGAAAACAGCTTTTTTAAAGTGTATTTCCCTATATTTTTCTGAAGATACAAAGAACCAGAAGAAAAGGAGCTTTTGTTACTTAACCTATATTGAGTCTAAGTGACCCCAAAATAAACCCCCTGAATATTCCCTAAATATTAGCTGCTTATCTCTGAGGCTCCATCCGCTCTGTGTTTACATATGCAGCACCCAGTGTGGTTTCCCAGGACCTACTCCATCAGAAAGAGAGGCTAGAGATGTTTAATTTGCTTATTAGGAGCTGATGATTAGAAAATTTAATCTCATACCTGAGTTCCAAAACCTTCCTGTGCATATGAATCATCTGGAGATCTTGTTAAAATGCAGATTCGAAATCAGGATGGCTGGGTGGGGCCTGAGATCCTGCATTTCTAGAGCTGCTGGGGAGTACTGGTGTTGCTGGTCTGAGGACTGCACTTTGGAGAGCAGGGCCTTATGGCACTGAGCTAAATTATAAAAAAGAGAGAGAGATACAAATGTAGTTATATAAAGACACTTAAGATTCAACTAGCACCTTTCTTTTTTTTTTAATTTTTATTTATTTATGATAGTCACAGAGAGATAGAGAGAGAGGCAGAGACATAGGCAGAGGGAGAAGCAGGTTCCATGCACCGGGAGCCTGACGTGGGATTCGATCCCGGGTCTCCAGGATCGCACCCTGGGCCAAAGGCAAGCGCCAAACCGATGCGCCACCCAGGGATCCCCTAACTAGCACCTTTCTTAATAATGCTGTTTGAACAATGGGATCTGCATATGTGGCTCTTTGGTAACTCAGCATTTGTAAAATAGTGCGTCCCCATGTTTTGAAGAAATATTTCTGTTGTACCTCTAGAAGTGAGCTCCCCAGGGGCCCAGCTGAACCATTGATGTGTTTCAGCCCCAAGAAGGTAGGTAATTAGGGACACAGAGGCCATTTGTCTGCAGCTAGAAAGAGACCCTGAAAGCAAAAAAATCTTACTCTCCTTTTTTCTTCTTCTCTTTTTTTTTTTTTTTGTATCTCTTTCCCCCTCCCTTCCTTTTTTCCCTTCTGTGCTCTTCCACCTTCAAGATACACCTCTCCGTTCTTTTAATTCCACGAATAATCAATCAGCCCGGGAGGGACCTGGTGGCAAACTATGGTGCCCTCTGGTGGTTCTCTGAAAACACCGTGACTCAATCCCTCCCTTCCCAGGGCTTCTCCTTGATGGGAATTCGGGTAGTACTGGGCTGGTGAGCATAGAGAAGGAATCTATGCCCAGAACTACAGAGCCCCTGTCTCCTCCGAGCTGCCACGGGAAATTAGGAGATACGATCTTTCTAAATGGAGTGGGAGGATTGGTTCTGAAAATTTTTGTCCGTCTGGCCCTAGGTTTTCCAGCTCCTGTGTTAATCTCTGGATCCCTGATTTTATCATCCATATTATCTGAAAAAGATGTTTATCAGTGGGTCGCTTTTCAGAAGAATACATTTGAATCTGTACATTAAGACCAATATGTCTTAGTGGCCCATTAGGCCACCAGCCCTGGAGTCTCTACAGAGACCTTTAGGGCCAGCTAAGCCCGTGTCTCCCAAGTGAACACTATAAATAAACCAAGGCACTGCTGGGAGCATTCCTTTTCAGATTCACTAAAGCTGGGTTCTTTAAAAAGTACCTTCAGAGGGGTTTTCTAGTTTTGTATATTGTGCATTTGGTTGTACTGGCAATTTCACATTTGCATTGCTAATGGACCTCTTCTGAATGTGTTTGACATTTTGCTTGGCTTTGAAAGGACTTTTATGCTGCTGCTTTTTCTTCCCGCGAGCTGCCTTGGGCTAATTAACCTATTCCCTCACTGGCTGGGCCTACTATATGCAAATGTTCTCATTTTGGATTCTGACATACACTCTTGCATGAACATCCCTAATGAAATCCTGTGGGGTTTTATTGGATCAGTGCTGCTGTGCAACCAGCAGGGGGCGCGCGGGCCGGCTGGCTTTGAGCAGATCCCCTAAATGACTTTTCTTTGCTGGTTGGTGTGGGAATGTGGGAGCTTACACAATTCCTTCTGAAGTGACTCTTGAAATCAAAAGATAAAAGATCATTGTCAGTACTTTTTAAGCAGCCAGAAGGGGCAACTGATTTTTATAATTTTGTGGTTTCATTTTACTCTGTTTTGAAAACAGCCCTGGGGTGCCCGGGTGGCTCGGTCAGTTCAGCATCCAACTCCTGATTGCAGCTCAGGTCACGATCTCAGGGTCGTGAGACTGAGCCCCGTGGCAGGCTCTGCACTCCGTGGGGAGTCTGCTTGAAGATTCTCTCTCTCCGCCTTCCTCTCTGGCTCACGCCTGCATGTGTGGGCATGCATGTGTGGGCCTTTCTCTTTCTCCCTCTCAAATAAATAAATTTTTAAAAAATAGTGCTTATCACTATACCAAGAGAAAGAAACTAGCACTGTCATCCTGATTGATTTGCAGGTATTGTGTGTAAATTATGCGCTGCACTGTTTACGACAGAAGGCTACAGAGAACACAGTTATTTTGGACTTCTAAAAGCCCTAGGTCGGGAGGGCAAAGGATTGACATTACTCTTTCAACACAGATATTTCTCCAGCATTAACATCTGAGAGCTCTTCCCTTTATGTTTGTTTCCATCCCAGTCTTTAAAGTGCCTCTCTTGGCATATGACAAATCCTGTTCTTATTGAAATGACCTTTGACGTTGAGACACCGAATTGAGGCACTTCCACCTAATACATACCTGGATGACAACCGTGAAGGAGGGGGACCACCTTTTGTGTCATCCGCCCTTTTGTGGCGGTGTTTGGTAATGATGCCAAAGCAAGAGCAGCAGCAAGAAGCAAGACCACAAAATCATGGGCCAAAACAGAAGTTACAGATGAGGGTGGGGAGCGTGGCTACGCAGGAGAGATGGGGAGAAGCTGGTGCACGCCGAGGCTGTGTTCGTGCACGATGTCACCATTGCTTGAGCGTTGACAGGGATTGGGTGCCAAAGGCTGCTGCCTTGTTGTGTTTGCTTTATGGTCAGATCGCAGAAAAGAGGGTCTGGGTAGGAGAAATGCCACCACTCCCACCCCCACCCCCACCCCCACCCCGGGCAGCCTGGGATTCCCAAAGCCCAGTGCCCCTGGGCAGCTTCCCAGGATCCCAGCACACGGCATTGCTCGTGTCTGCAGCTGCTGCCTCTAGGGGGCACTCACACCTGATGCTTGTTAGCCCGGTTCCCTTTGGTGCCAGTGATGTTCCTTCCACCTGTTGCCATTGGGCACCCATGTGCCCACACATCACTGGTCACTCAGAGATTGAGCTGTGCGTCTGTAACAACTGACTCCCACCTCACTATTCATATATCCAGGGTTGAGTCTGATTGATCTGAGAGAAGTGTCATCTCCAGGGTTAAAAGCGGGTTGGCCCTTTCCAAGGAGAAAGGAAGGGGGGGGCGATGTGAAGAAAAAACTCGGAGACAACCTGGGAAGAAATAAAGAGGAATGAAGGGAGCGTGGGACCGTCATGAAGGAGACCTCCAATGCATCCACCCTATTAGTGCATCCTTTTTCTTGTTTTTAACCATAACCATATTCGTTTTTTTAACTGTCTCGCAGATTTCTTTTGGCTTTCTGTTACCATATGAGTAGCTGTACTGGGAATTCTTTGGAAACTTGTAGAGCACAAGATTATTTTTGGCTGCCTCTGCTGAGTTGGCATGTGTACTGCGTGTGTGTGTGTGTGTGTGTGTGTGTGTGTGTGTGTGTGTGTAGTGTTAGGGAAGAGGAATGGTTGTGGATTGAGTATGGACCCAGAGTCAGACAGAGCCTTCGAGTAGTAGCTCTGGTAGCTAAGGCTTCAGACCTTACACCCAAAGACCGCTGGGGACCCCCACTCCTCACCTGCTTCTTCCCAGCACCTGCATCTGAGGCTGACCCTTCCTGGCGTCACCCTCCCATGGGCTTAATTTGATTTTCCTGCAAGGGAAAGAAGAGGTGAGGAAGGGACTAGCGTTTCTGAAAAGAAAATTTAAGAAAGAAATCATCTACCCTCTAAGAAGAAAAGAATAAAGGGAAAGAGGACATTGGGAAACAATGTCTTAGGAGATGTAGACCGTCTTAGGGGAGTTGCCGATGCCATAAAAAGGCATCTAGCTGTGGGGCGCCTGGGTGGCTCAGTCAGTTAGGCATCCGGCTCTCGCTCTCAACTCAGGTCTTGATCTCAGGGTGGTGAGTTCAAGCCCCGTGGTGGGTTCCATGCTGCTGGACTGGAGCCTCGTTTTTAAAAAAGTAGAAAATTAAAAAAAAAAAAAGGCATCTGCTGCTGTAAGGTTTTGACTTGCCCAATATCTCCATCACCTCCTATCTCCCTCATCTTCCTGACATGCTCTAGAACTCGGCTAGGGCTTTATGTTGCTTCCACGCTGGGGCTGTCATCAGGTTGGGGGAATTCTCGGAGAAGCCAGAGGCCTAGTCTCAGTCTGATATTTTCATCTCCTTTTCCTCCTCCCCTTCCTCCTGCCTCGCCTCTCTCTTCCCCCGTCCCCACCCTCTTCCTTCTCCCAGATTCCAGAGCTGCCGCCGGCGGATAGCACCCACGGGGAGATGATTCCTCATGAAGAGCCTGGCTCCCCTACAGAAATCAAATGTGACTTTCCATGTATCAGACTGAAACCAGAGCCAGCCAGACAGTGAAACAGTCACCGTGGAGGGGGGACGGCGAAAAATGAAATCCAACCAAGAGCGGAGCAACGAATGCCTGCCTCCCAAGAAGCGCGAGATCCCCGCCACCAGCCGGCCTTCCGAGGACAAGGCGGCCCCTCCGCCCAGCGACAACCACCGCGCGGAGGCCGTGGCATGGCTCCCCCCGGGCAACCCTGGCGGCCGCGCCCACGGGGGCAGCAGGCACGGCCCGGCGGGGACTCCCGTGGAGCTTGGTTTACAGCAGGGAATAGGTTTACACAAAGCGCTGTCCACGGGGCTGGACTACTCCCCGCCCAGCGCGCCCCGGTCTGTCCCGGCGACCAGCACGCTGCCCGCGGCCTACCCTCCCCCGCAGTCCGGGACCTCGGTGTCCCCCGTGCAGTACGCGCACCTGCCACACACCTTCCAGTTCATCGGGTCCTCCCAGTACAGCGGGCCCTACGCCGGGTTCATCCCCTCGCAGCTGATCTCCCCAACGGCCAGCCCCGTCACCAGTGCCGTGGCCTCCGGCGCGGGCGCCGCCACTCCATCCCAGCGCTCCCAGCTGGAGGCCTATTCCACTCTGCTGGCCAACATGGGCAGTCTGAGCCAAGCCTCAGGACACAAGGCTGAGCAGCAGCAGCAGCAGCAGCAGCACCTGGGCCGGACGCCGGGGCTCATCACCCCGGGGTCCCCCCCACCCACCCAGCAGAACCAGTACGTGCACATCTCCAGCTCTCCGCAGAGCGCCGGGCGCACGGCCTCTCCTCCGGCCATCCCCGTCCACCTCCACCCGCACCAGACGATGATCCCACACACGCTCACCCTGGGGCCCTCCCCCCAGGTCGTAGTGCAATACACCGACTCCGGCGGCCACTTCGTGCCGCGCGACGCCACCAAGAAGGCCGAGAGCGGCCGGCTGCAGCAGGCCATGCAGGCCAAGGAGCTGCTGAACGGAGAGGTGGAGAAGGGCCGGAGGTACGGCGCCCCGAGCTCCGCCGACCTGGGCCTGGTCAAGGCCAGCAAGTCGCTCCCCCACCCGTACGAGTCCCGGCACGTGGTGGTGCACCCCAGCGCCCCCGACTACGGCAGCCGGGACTCCTCGGGGGTCCGGGCCTCTGTGATGGTCCTGCCCACCAGCAACACACCCGCCGCCGACCTGGAGGTGCAGCAGGTCACTCACCGGGAGGCCTCCCCGTCCACCCTCAACGACAAAAGCGCCCTGCACCTGGGGAAGCCCGGGCACCGGTCCTACGCGCTGTCACCCCAACAGGCTCTGGGCCCCGAAGGCGTGAAGGCCGCCGCCGCCGTCGCCACGCTGTCCCCCCACACGGTCATCCAGACCACACACAGCGCTTCAGAGCCACTCTCTATGGGACTGCCGGCCACCGCCTTCTACGCGGGGACTCAAGCGCCGGTCATCGGCTACCTGAGCAGCCAGCAGCAAGCGATCACCTACGCCGGCAGCCTGCCCCAGCACCTGGTGATCCCCGGCACGCAGCCCCTGCTCATCCCGGTGGGCAGCGCCGACGTGGAGGGGTCCGGGGCAGCCCCCGCAATAGCCACGTCGTCGCCCCAGTTCGCTGCCATGCCTCACACGTTCGTCACCACCGCCCTTCCCAAGAGCGAGAACTTCAGCCCGGAGGCCATGGTCACGCAGGCCGCCTACCCCGCCATGGTGCAGGCCCAGATCCACCTGCCCGTGGTGCAGTCAGTGGCGTCCCCCGCCGCGGCGCCCCCCACGCTGCCCCCCTACTTCATGAAAGGCTCCATCATCCAGTTGGCCAACGGGGAGCTGAAGAAGGTGGAGGACCTGAAGACGGAAGACTTCATCCAGAGCGCGGAGATCAGCAGCGACCTGAAGATCGACTCCAGCACGGTGGAGAGGATCGAGGACAGCCACCACCCCGGCGTGGCCGTGATACAGTTTGCCGTCGGGGAGCACCGAGCACAGGTAACGTTCACCCCCAGCCCACTGGCACACAGGTAGGCGCACCCGCCGTGCTGCCGTCATCCTTCTCCTGGGAAGATGAGTGTCTTCCAAGAGGCAGACCCCAATGTGCTGTGGGGAGAATTCGGGGTCTTCATTTATACCCACACGATAGACCCATCCTCTTTCCCAGCCAGGTTCTGTGGAGAGGCGAGCCCTAATGCCCCCAGGTGTCCACTGTGTGTAATGAACTCACTTCTGTGCTCCTGGTGGGGCTAGTCAGGACCATTCAGAAAATCACCACTCAAGATCTATATATATTTATTCTGTGGTTTAAATGAGGAACCCCGATTGAGAAATGCTACAAGGCTCAAGGCTCTTTTAGGGGTCATGGGGCCTCTTTTTACAAACTGTCAGGAAAAGACCGTGCTGGTGAGGGTGGGGACAGTCGATGGTCACAGTCACCACATCCCATTCCAACGTCTGTGTTTTAAAATGTAGCTGCTTTTCTTATCTAGGTGTGGTGAGGCCGACAGGTGAGGACACAGCTGCCATTGAGAAGGTAGCTTGTTATGCTTAGATCCTAAAAAGGCAGGACATGCGATGCAGGGCCGCACGGGGAAGCACCAGGGTCAGTCAGGAGGCAGAGGGAGCCAGGAGGGACGGTGGGCAAGCACCTGTACTGTGGTTTCCGTGAGAAGGAATGAGCGACAGGGAGTAAGCAGGCTGGGGATTGGCTGGTCTGAATAATTTCAGGGAGCTCTGAGAGCATCGGGGCTGTCCCTGGTGTCTAGTACCTGGTGTGGTGCGGGCAGGTGGACAGTGGCCCAGAGGTGAGAGCTGGGTGGAGGAAGTGGTTTGGGAATATGAGCGTTTGGTGTGCATGTGAAGAACTCTCCCCTGGGCAAGGAATTAGCTAACCCCAGGAGGGGCAGTCCCTCCAGGGTCAGCCAGGCTCCAAGATGCCAAAGCATCAATGTAGAAAGAAAAAGGCATGCTTAACGTAATCTGGGAATCCCAGGTGACCTCCTGGGTGTATAGTCAATAGGAACCCAAGGGGTAAGATGCAGTCAACGTCAGTTGTGTTAAAGCCTGGAAGTATTATTAGCTCTATTTCCCCCATCTCTTTCAGCCCACTTTTTCACAGTCTCTTAAATCCCTTGAACACACGCTTTTTATTCCATTTATAGAAAACAGCATGTTCACTGTCCAGGTGGTTTGGCCTCCAGGCTGGGGGCTTCCCCGGCTCTCCTGGGGATGTTCCCATGGAGGACTTTGAAAAACCCCAAAGTGACAGCGCCTCCTTCAGATTCAAGCTGAGAATGGTCATGGCAGAGGTGGTATTTGGGATGTTCAGAAAGACAAAAGAAAAACTAGTTAATGGTTTGAATTGCTTTGAGGATATTTTTAAGAGGTCAAGTTGCAGGGGATGGGATTTTCCAGTGTTTTCCAGAAGTGCTTGTGAATTGCCAGATGTGGGGTCTTACACAATGTCAGAGGGCCTGCATCACCAAGCTCTTTTAGCCTCCCAGAGATATCTTTTTTTATGGTGCGGTGCCACCATAGGCATCCAGTCTTTGGTAAGAGCCAAGCAAGATTTCTTGAAGTTCAAATTTAAAAAAAAAAAAAAAAAAAAAGCAAAAAGCAGGATTCTTTTTCTTGTTTAAGTGGCATCTTTATTTCGAACTCCCGGTTGGTCTGTAGGTGCTGCTCATTCCTGCCTACATGGGTTGGAGGTGAGCACTAGTAGGAGTGCTGTCTTCAGCAAAATTGTCTTCTAACAGACTCCAGGGGAAGCATGGAAAATAAACAAGAATGAAAATGCATTTCTTCCTGGCACCTGCAATCCTTCAGGCGTTCCTGTGAACAGGGGAAGGCACGGGAAGAGGTGTTGTTTGGGAATGCTGCTGGTTCCGTAGCCGCACCTCTTTCCACCCTGAGACTGCAGAACAGCTCCAGCTGCAGCCAACATCTCCAGGACCCTGGCAGCCTTGGCCGTGGGCACGAGCTTCCCAGGCCTCTTTAGGTTTCAGAGGCACCCGGCAGTTCTGGAGAGCGGGCATCTCTGCGTCTTTTCCCTGCTCGATACTTTGCACCCTGGATGCTTGAATGATAGAGTAATCGGCTTCCCTGCGAAGTCTCACTTCCTTCGGGCAGCCAGACCACTAGTCTCTGCTGACAGCCAAGGTGCAAATTAGAAGGAAGAGTATTTGTCACGGCCCGTTCGCAGGTCTGTCGGGGCGGCCCCACGTGGTGCTGCTGCATGCTGGGGAGGGCTGTAGCCTGCTAAAAAGGTGGCTTGGGTTTTGAGCCGGAGAAACAAAAGTGCAAGGCCCCCGACACAGCCAATGATCTGTCGCTTTACCCAGAAGCCTATCAGAAACAGGCTGACATCATCACAGCTAAAATACTCCACCAGCTGTGTTTGCCACGAGTGACAGGATCGGGATCAGGAGAGAATCAGAGAGAAAGGAAGGGAGCCGGAGAACTGATATCTGGATTTCATTTACCTTCCCAGGGCTGAGAGCTTTCCTCCCTCATCAGTGCAGCACTGAGAAGTTTTTCTCCCTGGGCCTGGAGAATCAGCCGAGTCTTATCCACTAGTTAGAAATCACTATCACCTGCACCCGCGGGGAGATTTAGGGAGGTGCAAATTGTTTAACTTAATTAGCAAAATCACAGAACTGATTGGGGAAGTTGTGGGAGAAGGGATGGTTTTCCACCCAACAGATGGATGGCTTTATGACTCCAGGCATGTGTCCTGTGTGGAGGGGGATCCCCAGGGATGCGTTTGACCTCAGAAAACCTACTGTGAGCATCCCCTCCGGACGTGGCGTGGTGTGGCCCGGTGGGGGAGGGCTGCAAGACAAGTTGCCTTACCCCAGAGCTGCAGTTTTTTTTCCTCCCTAAAACGGGTAAATGATTCCTTATACAGGGTAACATCTCAGGCCTCCTCCGTTTTTGTAATACTGGGCTCTTCTGCCTCGCAGCGCGGAGCTCGTAGAAGCTACCAGCAATTCTCTTATCAAAAACCAAAGCGGGGATCCCTGGGTGGCTCAGCGGTTTAGCGCCTGCCTCCAGTGATCCTGGAGACCCGGGATAGAGTCCCACATCGGGCTCCCTGCATGGAGCCTGCTCCTCCCTCTGCCTCTCCCTCTCTCTCTCTCACTCTCTGTCTCTCTCTCTCTTTCTCTCATGAATAAATAAATAAAATCTTAAAAAAAAAAAAAAACCCAAAGGGGAACATTCAAGGGACTCTTTACTAACCCCACGTCCATAATCAGTACACAGACCTCATGGGAACTAAAGCCATCCTGAATAAAACTGAGGGGTTTTTCCTTTTGGTGATTATTTTAAGGAGCTGAACTCCTAATTATTATTGTGGAAAGACGCCTCCAGTGTTGTCTCCAGCTGAAGCTCCAGACGAGGCCGTGTGGGAGAATAAAAAAAAAAAAAAAAAAACACTGTCGCAGATTTGTCACCGTCCCTGTGGCTCTGCTACACCCGCTGAAGTATTTGTCTTCACAGGCAGTGTCTTTCACCCCGCGCCCCAGCCCGCTGCTGGGGGAGCACGAAGGGGAATTGCAGGTGTGATCTGTTACCATGAAATGCAACGCACGACACTTTTTCTCTTTCTTTCTTTCTTTCTTTCTTTCTTTCTTTCTTTCTTTCTTTCTTTCTTTCTTTCTTCCTTCCTTCCTTCCTTCCTTCCTTCCTTCCTTCCTTCCTTCCTTCCTTTCTTTCTTTCTTTCTTTCTTTCTTTCTTTCTTTCTTTCTGATTTAGTTTATTCATGAGAGACAGAAAGAGAGGCAGAGCCATAGGCAGAGGGAGAAGCAGCTCCCTGCGGGGACCCCCATGCAGGACTCGATCCCAGGACCCCGGGATCACGCCCTGGGCCAAAGGCAGACAGATGCCAACCACTGAGCCACCCAGGCGTCCCACGACACCTCTTTCTAACAAATCTGCATCTCCTTCCTCTTCTGCTGAAAGGCAGGTAGCACCTTCCACCCTGGGTATAGGCGAGCCTCCCTGCTTCCCTCATGGGTGCTGATTCTGACTGAAAGCCCCAATGGACAACAGAATCACTTTCCTGCGGCCTCACTTCCAAATACAGTCTGCTTGATAGTCTTCTCCAAGATTGAGCCTGTGAGTCCGTGGCAAGTCCCAGAGGGGATCCCCAGGCAATAGTGGGAGCCAGTGCGGCTCTGTGGGAGGTGTGGCATCCTCTGCTGGAGTGGGAAGCTAGTTAGCTGATTAAGAAAATGCCAAACCTGGAGCTAAAGACACCTAGGTTGGAATCTGTCTTCCACCTCTCCATAGCACCAGACCTTGGGCCCATTGTGAACAAATTAGTGCACAAATACTTTATCGTGCAGACACTCTCAGCCTCCCAGTCTGCTTACGTAGTGAGAAGAATGAGAGTTGTTGTAAGGAATAAAGAAAATGTGTTCAAAGGAAGTAGCACAATAGGTAGCACCCAGTAGGCCCTTGACAATGTCAGCGGCCCTCCCTACTTCCACCTAGGTGGCTTTGGCCCTGAGAAGAGAAAGGCTAGGGGTACCTGGGTGGCGCAGTCGGTAAAGCAGCCGCCTTTCGGTTTCGGCTCGGGTCATGATCTCAGAGTTGTGAAATCAAGCACCGCATCTGTTCCCTGCTCAGGTGGAATCTGCTTGAGCTTCTCTCTCCCTCCGCCCCTCCCGTTGGTGCGCTCTCTCTCTCTCTCTCTCTCTCTCTCTCTCTCTAAAATAAACAAATAAATCTTTAAAAGAGAGAGAGAAGTTAGATTCTGAAAAAATAAATGAAAGGCTTCATGCTCTAAAAAAGAATTTGTGAACAGAGAGGCAGTGGAGAAAAGTCCAGAAAGAAGGATAAAGTTCTCCAACAAGTGCAATAAGCCATTTTCACACTGCCTGTATTCCTATGGCATTATTCACATGAGTGGCCCCAAAGCACCCACATGGCTATTTCTGCAGAGGGGGCTAAATGACCTCCTGCAAGGCGGTGTGCATATAGGCAAGCTGTG